ACTGCCTCCCTTGTGGTTGAACGCCCGTGTCTCCCGCAGGCCCGCCGGCGGGGGAGATGGAGTTCTCCAGCGGCCGAGCGAGGCAGAAGCACTCGCGGCTGGGCGGGGACCGGCGGGAGTTGTACCCTCACAGCCTGCAGTTCTATCTGGAGCCCCCCACGGAAAACGTCCCTCTGGTGGAGTTTGAGAGCTTTGCTATCGACCGCCTGAAGTGTGAGTAGCGGGCCCGGACGTCCCTCCACCCCTGAAGATTTTGATTCTTCCTGTAATGGCTGCATGTATGTTTGGCGGGCTTAGATGCTCTCTCAGACTGTTATTAATGTAAACTGGCTGCCTGCTCGTGCTGAAGTGAACCCCCTTTAAAGGAAAACGTGTTGCTTTAGGTATTTCGGAGAGCTGTGACTGTTCTCACAACGAGTGGGTTTTTTTGGTATAGCAGTCAGGGCTGTGTAGTTTTGGTTTACACTGGTGGCTTTTACGAGTATGTTTCACTTTCGAGGTGTTGCGACCCATTTAATGTGTATCTGTACAGGGATTCAGGTCTTTGTGGCTGGGAGCAAGGGTTTCCCTGAGCTCCTGAAAACCACTGAATCCAAGGTTTCCATCATTACAGTGGAAACCGTTGTTCTGAGACTGATCTATCAGAGTTAGCTGTCTCCCTTGTTGACTGTATGGATCCCAGAGTTGGGCAAGCTGGTACTTGTGGCCTCTACCTTTGTGCTTCTTACCACTTTGTTCCCCATACTGCTAAAAGCAATTCCTGTGGCCTTACCAAAGCTTGTGCATTTCGCAAGACATGATACAGTTAGATTTCAATATGTTGTCTCTAACATGTATTTTCTCTTTTCCCAGTGCTCAAAGTAGTTGAAAACCTTGGTGTGAGCTATGTAAGAAGTAGTGAATCATACAGAACTAAGCTGGAATCTGAGCTCCGGAAGCTTAAGTTTCCCTACAGAGTAAGTAAAAATCAAAAAATGGAAATATCTTGCACTTTATTTTCTTTACGCCTTTCAAGAATTCTGAATAAAAGTAGAGGTGATGAAATACTATTCTTAAAGCTTCTGTCATTTTGTCAGAGATGTAGTTTCTCTTTGAGAGTATATATATATATTTCTTTGGGACAACCCACTTCTTTAATAATCTTGCATTTATTGTCTTAAAGATGGATATTAACAGCAATGATAAATTAATTGTGGATTTTTGATCTGGGAGAGATTATTTCTCTGAAATAATAATAATATGTTCTGTAGGCTTTGGCTGAGGATGATTATGAGGCAAGAAGAAAAGACCATATCTCTCATTTCATACTACGCCTTGCTTACTGTCAGTCGTAAGTACTTTTTGGATTATGTTGTACTCTTTATTAATTTTAAACATATACAGATACTACATTGTTTTTTTATTATAGACACTACAGATATTTTAGAGTTGCATGGCTACTAAATGGAAAGGTAGGCTCAGGTTTTTTTTACTAGGAATCTGATTTCAACTGTAATGAAAAGGGATACTTGGGCTCAAAATTAATACCCATTTTTTTGTAATGATAAAAAAAAGTATAAACTTATGGGTTTCACGCACATAATGTTGATTTGAGTCTTTCCTTTTGACATCTTTTCTGAGATTAAAGCACACCAATATTAATTGTTTATCAGGAATTTGCAATGATTAATAATTTAAATTAACTTCTGCATATGCTTAGACTGTTGATTACTGACCAAAGACCTGACTATTTAAATAGACTTTATACTATTGTCTAAAGAGAAAGTCTTGTTTCTGGCAAACTGGAAATACCATCTGAGTTTGAGGTTTCCTCTTCTGACTTTGCTTTTCTTCCAAATTCATTGCTGTGGATGGCTGCACATTATGTAAAATCTCAAGCACAAAGTTGGTCCTGTCAGGTGCATTCCTTTTGCTTCAGCTGTAAGTTTTCGATGAATTTATAGAGGTTGTCCAGTGTTTTATATCTTTAGCAGCTTTGTTATGCAGCAGTGTGAACTCCTGACTCCTTGCCATTGCAGTCCTTTTTTAGAATTAAAACTGGCAAATATGAAGTGTGTATTGTTCTGTATTGTTAATTGAATCGCACTATAAATTGAAATATTGTTTAAATTATGTGTGTGTGGTAGAAAACATATTATGATACTGTGATAGCTGACATGACTGAAGTGTTGCTGTGGATAAATACAGATTTGTAAGCAAAAACAGACCAGGAAGGTGAGTAGGGGGGATTGTGCTCTAAGACATGGTATGAAGCTGGAATGGATACGACTTTTCCTTGGAATGGGTTATGAGACAATTGAGAGTTTTTGGGCAGGTGTTGGAGAAGAGACCAAGATGGCTGACAACATAGTAGGTTCCTGCTACAGACCATCTGATCAGAATAGGAGTAGCAGAGTCCTCAAAAGTCTCCAGATAGAGGAAACCTCATCGTGACAGGCCCTGGGTGACTTTAAACACCCTGAAATTTCTGGATTTTTCACATCCCGTCATGTTGCGCTTTCAAAAGACATCTGCGCTGTGCAAAGGACAGTTTGTTGATGTACATGACTGATGAACCACCTAGATCTGTGATGCATGTACAATGAGGAACATATTGTGGGTGTGAAGGATCAATAGCAGCCTTCGCTGCATGGACTGGTAGCATAGTCTAAAATGCTGAGAGAAGGGACCAAGTTGAATAACAGAATTGCAACTGAAGTTCCTTCTACCCTTCTCTATTCTACATATAGTATTTGCAATTATGAATAACAAATGTATTGGTTTCTTTCTAGTGCTTATGTTTGTTGTGTATATTTTTATAAACTCCCTTGGTCATACTGGTCCTACTGAAAATAGCTTGCTTTACCTGTGTGGTAAGTTTCTACCAAAACCCCATAAAAGGTAGTATCCTTAAGTAGCCTGGGACTAAAAGGCCCCTGAAAACTTGGTGTTTCTTATGCAGCTAGTGGCATTATGAATAGTCAGTTTGATTTCCATTATCCTCTTGTAAAATTTCAAGCATTTAGTTATTATTTAGATGGGACCATTGCTTTTCTGTTGGAGATGAGACACTTTGAGGGTGTTGGTAATGACACATTGGAAAAAAGTTCTGCTCTTCGGGAAGGTAGAATTGTCTGGTGGCAAGGATCTGATCTGGCATCTATTTTTGGTTAGTCTGTGGCTTCAGGAAAAATGAGTTTGGGTCAAATTCACAGAAAGCAATACAAACAGTTTAGCAAAAGCCTGCAGGTTAGGTATTCTGTTCAGGAGTGGAATTCACTAAACTTTGTCCACTGTGCTGAGAAGGGAAGAAGGTATATGTGGATGACAGTGGCTAGCATGCTAAGTGAAAGGCTGCCTCAGGCAGAAATAACCAAGCAGGGGCTTGGCTAGACATTTGCCTTTGTCACTGATGTGATATCTTTCCCCTCTGCCCTGTATCTCTATAATGGCTCTGGTATCTCCTGGAATTAATGATGGATGCAGATGTCATGTCCCACTCAGATGAGGGAGACAAGTGACTCAGATTGGTAAATCCCCAACAGAGTGGACAACCGTGAGACAAGTCTCAAAGTCCAGACATTTAGTAACTTCTCACAATGTACTACTTGGACATACGATAATTGGCTAAGTATATAACAAGTTGTGTCAAGCAGTACAGTATGCCTTGCGTTTCTTAATGGTAGTGAAGGAAAAGGGGGAAAAAGGAAAGGAGGGAGATGGAGGTAATAGAGATCACTGTTCTGGGTTCCTCCATCGATCCCGCCAGCGAGGGTTCCAGGAGGCATCCGTCTTCTTCACTTCACTCTCTAGGCCCCCCCTCCCTTTTCCCCCTTGATTTATACCCACTTTCCTTGGGTCCGTCCCCTAGGTTGACCCACATACCTACATATCCCATGTATGGGAAGGGGTACGGTGCTTCATGAGATGATGTAATTAGCATGATCTTGTTAGTCTTCATTAGCATATTCAGGATGTTAACTTTAATATGCATTTTGTAGATAATGAAGCAAAGGTCATTCACCAGACAGATGGTCAATTTAAATTTGGCCAGGTGCACCAGAGCAGAACTGTCCTGTCTCCAGAGGTCTCCCCCCTTCAGCTGCATCTTGACCTCCATGTTATCTACCCTATGACTATAGTTTTGTTACTTGAAAGTGTTTGAGACATTCCTCAGCTTGGAGGGCCTCCACTCCCCCTGCTAACCATTATCTCTTTCTCGGGCTGTTTTCCTCAGTCTTTGTTTCTTGCAGGCCTCTTTCTTTCAGGACCTGTTTTTACAAGTCATCTCTCACGGTAGATAATTGGACTGTTTGCTTCTTCTCTGCAAGCTTCTTTTTAAAAGATCTTTGTCTTTTGTATGAGAGCTTATTTGACTCTAGTGCTTGCTTAAGAAATAAATGTGAAACATGGTTCAGACCCTGTGTTTCAGGGCAGAGGTGGTCAGCTTGTTGAGGGTGAGCCACTGTGCCCAAATGAATCCAAGCTATATTGGGCCACAGAGTCATCAGGAAAGAGCCTGGCTTTGTAGTCTCCTTCTTAGGGAGGAGGGGCCTTGGATAGAGCTCCAGGGCACTCTTTGAATTACTTGCAAATGTATTTTTGTGTTCCTGGTTATATACAGATAGTTTGATGCAGTGTTTCAATAAAGCAGCTTGATAGTTTCCACTTAAGCTAGCTTTTTTTGTTTCTTTGGAAAGGTAGACAGTGCTTACTCATAAAATGGAAAATAGTCACTTAAGCACTGAGCTGATCCTGTACCCATTATTTTTCATTCTCTCTTGAAAAGCAGCAATTTCAGAGATGAGAGATTTCTGTGCTCTAAAACTGGCATGTTCCCTAGAAAGTAAAATTAGGAGGCAAATAGAATACACTGTTCTTTAAGTTTTTATCATACTAGGTCAGAAAAATAAGCTTGGCAGAAAACATTAGGTTAATTGATGAAAGCTATTAAGGTAGGAGTGTTTTGAAAAAGTGTACTTAAATAGTCATAACAGCAAATTCGGTTGAATTCAGTTCTCTGTGACAGTTGTGTTTACAGGCTTGTTTTCCTGTGACACCACTTTAAGTTTCCAGTTGGCCAACAGTGCCACCCAGGGGTATGAGTTTACATCAACTTATTTTTTTTCTAGTCTGCATCAGTCCTCACTTACAAATTAGATTATTTTGGTTTGGGTTTTACATGGTTTGAGATGACCAGCTCCACCATCCTTGTCAGTCAAGTCTGTAATGTAGTTATCTCTTGGCTGTCCTTCTGCCTTCTGAAGTCCAAGGCATTAAAGCTTATTCCCATATAATGTTACTAAGGTAAGGTATGTACAGTCTTGAGTGAACAGTCTCATCCATACCCATCTTTCACACCTCTTGTAATGTCACTTATATCTGTCAAGACCAGGAAACAGAATAATCTTGTTTCATTCACTTTCATGGCAAACACAGCTCTGAACAGAATTTTACTTTCATGTTGACCATGACCATGCATTTCTGTTTCTGTCTATTGCATCTCTTTTCACTTTATCAGGTTAGCTGGGAAGAATCTTGAAAGTCACAGGAGCATAGTCTTCACTTTACTTGAGATGGAAGAAATAAATCTTCCCTCTGCTCTGACAGCAAAACTCTTCTATCCAGGAAACTTTTAAGCATATTTTTGAGTTTTTATTTCTTTTTCTCATGTTGTGTAACATAGACATAAGTTCTTTATTAAGCCTAGCAAGGGTTTTTTTTCTACTTCCTGCCATGTTTTTTTCTATGTGGTATATGGTAAATTAGACTTGTGTGCTGAAATTGCTACCTTTTATGTTGACTAGCATTTACTTTTGTGGCTTTCTGTACTTGAGTTCCCCTTGCTGTCTACCTTTTGAATCTTAAACTCTGAGGAATCTTCTGGTGTTGGTTGTCTAGTGAAATAGAGCTCTGGACCATGCTAAGACTTTTCACAGGTTAACATTAAGTTGTTGGTAACTGAACTCTCATGTAATAGTGGAATGTGAACTATGGTTTAGGAGCACTTTCATGTCTTTCTAATGTACTTTAGTGTCGATGCTTTATAAGAAATATGCCAGTCTTGCCTACCACTCCTTGGGGGAGTAAGGGGGATTCCTCACCTCACCCTCTTCCCCCTCCCCTGACCCGAGTGCTGTTCCCTGGTATGAAAGAGACTGTTCTTCTATATTGGGAATCTACTGATCTGATTTAAACTGTTGAGTAGTCAGCACACAAAAAGGTAAGTGGCAGAAAACGAGGAGATCATCTTGAGTGCCATTACAAATCACGTAATGGACAAACAGATGATCAGGCTCAGTCAGCCTGGGTTTATAAAAAGGCAGGTCCTGCCTGACAAACCTGATTTCCTTCTATGACAAGATGACCCAACTATTGGATGAGGGAAAAGCTGTGGATATTGTCTACCTGGATTTTCAAAAAGCATTTGACACAGTTCCCCATAGAATTCTCATACAAAAACTGGCTGCCCATGGCCTGGATGAGGGAATGGTCTGCTGGGTCAAGCACTGGCTGGATGGACGGTCCCAGAGAGTGGTGGTCAATGGAGCTAAATCCATCTGGTGGCCGGTCACAAGTGGTGTTCCTCAGGGCTCGGTGTTGGGACCATTTCTGTTCAACATCTTTATTGATGATCTTGATAAGGACACAGAGTGCATCATCAGTAAGTTCACAGATGGCACCAAGTTAAGCAGGAGTGTTGACCTGCATGAGGATAGGGAGGCTCTACAGAGAGACTTGGATAGATTGGATCCATGGGCCAACGTTAACGGGATGAGTTTCAACAAGGCCAAGTGCCAGGTCCTGCACTTGGGCCACAACAACCCCCTGCATGGCTACAGGCTTGGGGAGGTGTGGCTGGAGAGCTGTCTGGAAGAGAAGGATCCGGGGGTTCTAATTGACAAGCAGCTGAACATGAGCCAGCAGCGTGCCCAGGTGGCCAAGAAAGCCAACGGCATCCTGGCTTGTATCAGCCATAGTGTGACCAGCAGAAGTAGGGAGATGACAGTCCCCCTGTACTCTGCACTGGTGAGGCCACACCTGGAGTGTTGTGTCCAGTTTTGGGCACCTCAATACGAGAGAGATATTGAGGTGCTGGAGCCAGTGCAGAGCTGGTGAAGGGCCTGGAGAACAGATCCTATGAGGAGCAATTGAAGGAGCTGGGAATGTTTAGTTTGAGGAGAAGGCTGAGGGGAGACCTCATCACTCTCTACAACTACCTGAAAGGACATTGTAGAGAGGTTATTGCTGGTCTCAGAACAAGAGGGAATGGCTTTAAACTGCAACAGGGGAGGTTCAGACTGGACATTAGTAAAAAATCTTTCACAGAAAGAGTGGTCAGACAGTGGAATAGGCTGCCCAGGGATGTGGTGGAGTCACCATCCCTGGATGTGTTTAAGGGTTGTTTAGATGAGATGTTGGGGGATATGGTGTAGGGGAGAACTTTGTAGAGTAGGACTGATGGTTGGACTCAGTGATCCCAAGGATCTTTTCCAACCTGAATGATTCGTGAGACATTCCTAACATCTACGCTTCAGCTACTTGCAACTGTCTCATTTTCAGCAGCAACTTGGGTAGTTATCTAATGAGTGACATTTCTTTTCAGTTAAGGTTGTGGTTCTGATAATAAGTATTATTAATAATATCTGTCTGGAGCGAGAGTGTACAATTATTTTTTAAAATGTTAATAATGACATGATTTGGGTTTAGAAGTAATGTACAGTTTTCCAAAGACATAAGGAAAAAAATGAACATAGATAATGCCCTGATCATGACGTGTCTCGGAAAGTCAGTTTTAAAGTATATGCTGGACATACACAGTAATGTGAGCCAGTTCATCAGCTAGTTTGTCAACTGTAAGAAGAATCCAGGTAGGTGTGTGTATTGTATTAGAGATAACAGTAATATTTTCTTGTTTAGGTAACTTAGGTTGGTAGGTGGGATTAGAGCCTTTGATCTACTCTCCTGAAGGAAAAGAAAAACAGGAGACTGGCTGGCTGCCAAAGTAACTTTATATGCTTGATATTTTGTTTCCTTTGGAAGACAAAGACAGCATAAAACTGATGAATTAGGAACAGAGTAAAATGGTCACATCCTAGGATTTTGTTACTGTTCAAGATGATCACAGAAGAACTGCAGATCAGAGCATTAACTTCCATTTTAAGTTGCACAGATGATTAATATCCCAAGCATGGAGACTGCCCATGGGGTTATACTTTACAAAAGGCCTTAACGCAGTCTTTCCATATGGAATTATAATTTGAATAATAATCAATTTTCACCAAACCATATTTCAAGTAGAGGTTTTGTCCACAGAATCACAAAGAATTCTGTTGTAATTCATTGGTCAACTATGGGAAAACATGCGTAAATATTGTAAGGAGAACATGTAAGACTGCAGTATTTCTGTGCTCTGTGAATTGTCATGGCAGTAGCCCACAGTGTAGCTCTGGGAGGACAGTTTAAAAGAATGCCCTTTAATAGAGAGATAGAGTATCATCTGCATTCTGTGCTTGTACCTACAGGGTGGCTTTTGTTACTAGTATTCTGGTACCTATTTGCTATAGCTTTGAGTAATGTGCTGATGCCTGGGAGTCTGAGTGCTGGGATGTAAAGAGTAAACATGAGTAGAGACTGATTTAGAGACTGGCTTCAGAGTTTTATTTTTTTAATGTTGTCTACTGACTTATGTCCCTGTTTTCTTGTTTGTTCTACTTGCTCACCTGCTGTTGCTAAACCCCTTTTGCTCTTTTGTCAAGTGTTAGATGTTCTCTTTGTGTTCCTCACCCAAGTTTGTTATCATGTATTTTCCTTTTGCTTGCTTCCAGGCTATTTGTTGCCTAGTATATAGCACTGTTATAATATCTGAGAAGTGTGCATGTGTTTTCAGTTGGAGAGACCCCAAAAGCGAGAATTAAAAGAAGTAGGCTTCCTACTTCTTCGTATTTGCCTCATCAGATTGATTGTGACATTAATAGTACAATGAAGAAATGTTGTGTCATGTTAAAAAAAAAAAAGATGTCCTTTAAATACTGAAGGAGAATGTTATCTGCAGTTGGTTATTATCTAAAACAACTAAGAAATGGTTAGTACTGTTTAAAAGGGATAACAGCTTTGATACCTACAGAGCAATTTTTAGTGTTGAGATTGACTGCCTCTGTTCGTTCAAAACAAAGAAGCATGACTGCCGATGTATATTGTCTCTTCACAAGAAGAAAGCTTCCTGTCTTTTTTCCAGGCTCCTCAGTTTGTGGGTCCCATGCCAAAGTCAGTGTTACATTTAATACTGTGTTCACTAGGTTTGACATCTAGTTTATAAAGAAAGGATGCATAATCAGAAAATGTATTGTGGGTTTTTTTTTATTATTTCTTTGCAGTGAGGATCTCAGGCGTTGGTTTCTTCAACAAGAAATGGATCTCTTGCGATATCGCTTCAATGAACTAACTGACAGTTTAAGACAGAAATTCCTGGAACATGTTAACTTATCATTTGAAGCTGTAAGTATGTTACTTTCTGTATTTGTGTTAGGTTGCATGTGCCTTTTTTAAAAAAAAAGGTCATTAAGATAGTTTTAGTACTTCTGTTTAAAAAAAAAAAAAAGTGCAGTTATGGCTTTAAAAAACAAACCACACAAAACTTCTGAACTCTAAGAATAGTGTGCATGCCGCAGAAACGAGGATTAAATTATATAATTTTGTGCTGCAACAAGAGAAGATCAGTCTGCTTCAGTCAACCAATACCTGACAGAAAACTGAGTAATTACAAAGGTAAGCTAACAGTGTTTACGAAAGCTGATAGGAGGGGTTTTTGAATTAAGATTCTGGATAGGTTAGATCTAGTGTGTGTTCTTCAGATACGACATTTGTTTGTCTCATCTGTCCCTCAGGGAAAATAATACTCAGGTCAGAATTACCTTGTTTTCTTTTATGTGTAAGTGATGAATTGTGTGATAATTCACCTTAAAGGTTTCAGTGATAGGAATGCAACCGTTTGATTCTAACCTGAAGTGTGTGTGCAATCTATTCTCATCAGATTACTAACTTCAGTTGGAAAACATATATCTTTATTCATAAACTTTGCTCTAGAACCTTTGTAATCTACGAACTACTTCTAAGATGTTGGTTTCTTACTATCGTAACCAAAGCAAACCACAGTAACCTTGGGGACTTTGTACATCATACCATTTCATGAATACTGACATCTGGAGAACTATGTGAAAATGAGACATGCATTCAAGGAATACCTAAGAGATGTTGAGGATATAATTAAACTTTAATAATCAAAGTATGAAAATCCTGTATGGGTTGCTCAAGAATGTAACTTACTGTGTCACTGTGGGTTAAAAATAATCTACTTTGCAAGTATATTTTTGACATGTGGTTGTATGTACATGCTAAAAATAATTTCTATTCCGCTTGTTTGTGCATATTATGTGAGTTACTGAAGCTGTAAGACTGATTTAGCTTAAAGAGTAAATTTGGTATTAGATACAGTAGTTAAAAATTGCCTACTGTCTTGAGAGATTTATATATAATTTGAAAAGATCTACAGTTAAATAACAGTTTTATTGTTACATAGGCTTTATACACACACACATGCATGTAAATTATACTCTCTTCACTTAATAGACCATTTGATTTTGGCCCATTAAGTACGTGCTACAGAGAATACAGATTATAAATTGCATCCAAAACTCTGTAAATGCTTATTCCACAGTTGCTTTCTCATTAGAACTTAGATTCAAAGCTTTTTTTCCTTTTGACTTAAACTTATTCTAGTTCTTTACTAACTTATGAAAAACCTTGAAAATACCAAATCTGTGTAGACAAAGAGCTGTTGTTTTTGAGATGCTTTAAGGATATTATAAAAGAGTTCTTGCTGTTATATACCGTTTCATTTGTCTGAGCAAATTAAAGGAAAATGTCGCAGTTTCTGCGTTAATGACTTCAATAAAATTTTGCATTGCAGCTATGAACTATTTTGTTAGAAAGCTCCAGCTTTGCCTGTAGCTCTCAGTAATCTTATAAAAATTAATGTATAATCATGACTCTACTGAAAAAAACCACAAAATACCAACCCATTTTTCTCTTAAAATACTGATTAATTAGAAGAACTTAAAAATTCTAATATGTGGCTGATGTGCATTATATGTTGCTAGATTGAAAAATCAGACACCAGTGCATGTGGATAATGAAAGATGACTTGTGCAGTGTGTTGAGAATGAATTTGTCTAGCTAAGCAGTAACTTGTGGGCTTTCCTGGGTCTTCAAGAGACTATTAGAAATTTCATTCTTTGGTTCAACAGACCTTTCACTGAATGGTGTGTTTGTGGAGCTGTGTTTCTGTTGCTTATTCCCTGGACTCATATTGTCCTGTCACAGTTTCAGCATTCAGGCTTGTGAGAATAAATCAATGTTTACAGGTTGCTGGAAATAGCTAGGAGCATAACTTGGTTCTGTGCTATTGAATGTACCTTCAACATGTCAAAATGATTAAAAAGGTATTACTTTCTTATGCCTGTTGAGGCAACAAAGAAACATTTCATTGCAAATCTTCTCTGTTTCTACTTTTTTTTTCCCCACTTCCAGCTCCAGTGGGAATTTAAGCAAAACTAATCCCTTGCGCTATCATATATAGAACATTTGAATATTACTAAGGAATTCCATGTGTATCTGAAAGAGGTTTAAACTCTATGGTGCTACGTAGGGGCCACTAAAAGCAGTATTCTTTTTCTCAATGTTGTATTTGTAAACGTCTTTAAAAGGAAATGAAGACGGACTATCCTCTTCATAGTTCTCTGTTAAAAGTTATGTTTTCATGCCTTACTGTGCATAAAACAAGATGGAAGTCAAACTTTGTGCTGTACCTGTTAGAATGGTCTTCAGGACCTTCAGGTCAAGGTAATATCAAGTTCTGATATTACAATTCAGCCTATGTATATTTAAACGGATAGAAATTCTACTATAGGATTTTAATTGCTTAAGCTATGCTAAGAAAGTTAGGTAAATATCCTTGAAGAGAAGACACGTGCCTTGCGTTTTCTAGATAACAGTTCTGCATTTCAGAATTGTAAGCTGAGATAGGCCAGGGCTGCTGAAGTTCAGACCTCGGCATAGTCTGGCATAGCTATGTCTCAATTTAACAATTCTAAGAACCACTGTAAGAAGCAATTCTCAGTATTTAATAAAAGAGCTGGTCAAACTTTTTGTGAGGAGGAGGAATAAGTGGATAGTCTTGTCTACTTTCGTCATGTTTGTCTTCATTTATAGTGCCAACAAAGTGAACTTGACATTGAGAATTCAGTAACTGTCACATCTCTCCTTTTCATGTTTGCTCACATGCATGAGAAAGACATGTATTCATATAAATCTTTGCAGGGGTTTTGCAGACTAATTCCTGAGATTTTTTTGAATTATGGATTAAGAATTACTCATTTATAGAATCAAGAAGTCTTCAATCCTGCTCAGGGATAATACTTAAGCAGCTGTTAAAATCTTTGGAGGCTTTAGTGCCAAAGATCTTATTTAACAACTTTTTGGAAAGAATGAAGTTGTTAACAACTAGGAGAAAAAATACCAGACTTTTTGAATTTTTCTAAGGTAGCCAGCTGTGGAGAGTTTGAAATGATAGTAGTTCTGATCTCATGATTAAAGAGAATTTTAATCAAATAGCAAGAGCTTTCTGAAACTAAAAATAGAAATGAAATTTAATGAAAATGAATGTTTTAGTTGTTATAATAGGATTTCTTATGTCCTGTGACATTTATATTGCTGATGGAGCAGAATACATGGGAAAGGGTTCATTAAAATAAGTAAATACTTGCTCTGTGGTGTTTTACCTGATTAAAAAATGCCCTTTACTTGCAAAAGGAAGACTATAAACTGTTCAAAGTATCCAGATTAAAGATGTTGACTTCAGGATAATGAATTAGTGTTTGAACACGCATAGGATTATGATAATTCAAATTTTTTACAATGTGAAAATAAGCTTCTCTACATTTAGTATAAATTAGGGAAATTTGAAGCTTAGGTAAGTTCTTCAAATGTTTTTACAAAGCTGTCACTGAATTAAGGTAGTCTATCTCATATTTCTGTGAGAAGCCTCTGGAACCTGGACTTTCTGAAGAAAATGGAAGTTTTAATTACTTGTAGGCCAACCTGTTTTCTGGCAAATGTGGAGGATGCCTGGACTGGTGTTGCTCAGCCTACTGGAACATTGGTTTGGTGCTCAAAATTTTACAGTACTCTGAAATATTAGTGTTTATGTTCTCATAGCAATTTATGCCAACATGAGCACAAGGTAGAGCATGTGGTATTGAATAAAATGTCGAGAAAGGAAGAACATAGAAGGAAAGGAAGAATAAAAAGTGGGGGAAGTAGGAATGACGGACCTTGTTCTCACTCTTTTTTTTTTTTTTTTTTTTTTTTTTTTTGCTGTTTATTGTAACTCGACTGTAATGAAAATGACAGTCTTATGAATGTACTGGCTTCCCTTGTTGCAACTTCTGTAATTTTTAATTATTTACACTTTTATTTTAAACTGATGTAGTTGTAGAGTGTTCTTGAGATTGGGACTGTATTGGAGCTTTTGTCAACTATACTTTTCAGTTAGTTGTAAACAGTAATGGGGCCAGAAGTTGCATAAATGTCAGTGGTCTTTTCCTTTTGTTTTAGCGTGGATATGTTAGTTTGGATGAGAAGAGCTTGTCATGTCACTGGTGACAAGGGCTGAGGTTGAGCCCAGGAATAGAGGCTGATGAGGATTATTTGAAATTTTACTATTGTCACTTCTCAGTAGGAAAAACTCTGTGGTCTCAGCTTCTGAGAGGATGTGTTCAGCATCTCAGACAATAACTTGTTTCAGCTTTTGCTTTTTGGCCAGAGTTTGGGACACTAGTGAAAATGTTTCTTTTCTACTTTTGGTTAAAGCATTCTGTGCAGTGTAATGAGTGTCAGGCTCTTAATCAGAGCCCAAACCAAGCCCCAACTTTTTTTTTGGGGGGCAGAGGGTGAAAGATGTTTTAATGAAGTGCTGCTTTGCCTGCAAATAATAAAAAAAAAAATACAGACTGGTATACTTTGTAGTATCTGAGGTTAGTTGTCTTAACTAGTTCATTTCCATAATTTATTTTCTAATTTACTTTCATAACACCTTTAAAGCTGTTTGTAATTGCATTAGAAAATACATTGTTAAAGATTTGTACTGTTCACTTTTACACTTTTTTAGGTATCTTAAAAAATTAAAACTGATTCAATTTTTGAAGATTACTTTTATCTTAACAGTCATTTATACACTTTTCATGAATACCTTCCCCCTCAAAATTATTGTATCGACATCTTAAACAATTAAGCATTTAGCTTGTTTTTTTCTCTGAAATAAGTTGTGGTTGAACCACGATATCAAAGGTGATGTTTACAATATAGCCTCCTTTCCAGTAAACAGAGAAGACACTGAAGAAATTCAACTTTTGAACTCTACCTTTTGACAGTAGTTAGAA